GTGTGCACCAGAATTGATAGGTTGTCCTTGAGTGTGAATATATTGACTAGAAGAATGTCCACAATCAAGCACTGCATGCTGCTTGTCCCTTGCAAAAACAATGTCGTTTACTCCATTCTACTGTTATTTGGCAAGGTTTACATGAAGCAAACTTTCGTTTGCATGAGCACCATAGCTCTTTAAAGGGTGCACCGTTCTCCCATTTGTCTGCCCACTGCACCACCAGTGGCTGCACCCCAGGATTCTGCTGCACGACCATCATTTATATAGACCCATGGATTCTCGCATAAAAAAGATAGTGAAGACCTTAGCTATCTGAAAAAATAGTGACCCATGTTAGCGCACCATTGACTGCGTTACTTGACTGCGAGTTGACATACTTGGAGAAGACCTAATGATATCACCAGTGTAGTCTTTTATCATGTGCATAGATTGCCTGCGCATGTTTTGCTTTTACTTCTACTTACTTATGTTCGCTTGAATAAAGCAATTAGTTATCAGTCAGCAATCCCCTTGTCAAGTCTTTCTGTGCACTACATCTTTTGGGCTGTATCAACATGAACACTAAGCAACCAGCCCAACTCTCCCTTTTGATCCGTAGTACACTCTAACCTCAATATAATGAAGCTGGATATAATGAAATATCGGTTAAACGAAGCAAATGAAGCATACTCTTGCCATAGATACAGTATTAGGAATATATCTTTATAACCACATGTTTTTGTTGTGTGCACTGCGCATGCTTCTTCCTTGCTTTGAAGCTCATTTTTTAAAGAAGTGGTACGACCTAATAACCCGAGCAAGCAAACCACAATTTGCGGTGCCCGTGGCACACACGTGTCTAGTTGGCATGCTACAATGGTGACAGCTAGGCTGTTACTACATTGTGACAGACTTTCCACGTGAGAATTATTTTGATAGAGGCAGAATGATAGCTGCCCGTGCACTGTGCAATGTCAGTGCACGTTAAAGAACACCAGATGGCCAAAATTTCTGAAGCCCTCCACTCGGTGTCTGCCATAATCATATCGTGGTTTTGGGACGTAAAACCACAGATACTGTTACTATTAATATCCCCATGAGAATTCCCAGACTGTATACAACGAATTAGTGAACTTGTAAGAACAAGAAAAACGTGCTGCTATGATACCGCGTGCGGTGCACATGCAGAACTGTCAACATACATGTGAGAATGGTGAGTAGAGTTAATCACCACACATGGTTAGAAGTGCTGGTGGGATCTGCAGAACAAAAAGCCAATTTCCCCTTCACTGCTCTTTTTAGTTCTCCGGTTGTTTTGCATCCGATAAGCTTACTTTTCACTTTGACTTACGCTATGTTTTCAACACCTTCGGTGCGATTGTAAACGTGAAAAAATGTCTGTTTTGTAAGGACCTCACCACGAGAGATACTTGAGATGCAGGCACTTTTTTATTTACTCAACTTGTTTATTTACATTGAGCCTGGTGTTCTTCATCATCAGTAAAATTCATTAACAAACGCAAGTGATGAGCTGCCGGGAGCACTTTTGAGCACACGTCAAGCTGTAACAAAACAGTTTAGATGTGGTGGCGTACGTGAAATCCTCATCCTGAAAGTGCTTTCTGCAGACCTGTGCATTAGCATCGGCACGGCCGCGGGTTTTTATCCAACGGCCGTGCCAATGCTAATGCGCGAGTCTTCTTTACGTTTGGGGTAATGATACAAGAGGATCTGTCATATGCGTGCGGTGCACAAGCACAACTGTCAACGAACATGTGGAAATGGTGATGCATTGCCATGCATTCTTAGACATGCAGATGGGATATGCAAAACAAAAGGCCCATTTCCCCTCCACTGCTCTCTTTAGTTGTGCTCCAATCTTAGTGACGATCACCACTGTTTCGTGTTTTTTTAAACCACTGATGCACTTACTTTTAGCTTTAGCTTAAGACTTTTGAACGTATCAATGTTACTTTTCAGCGCCTTTAATATGAGTGACAAAATGTTTCGTAAGAACCTCGCCGTGAGAGATATTTGAGATGTGGGCACTTTTCTTTTTTTATTTTGTTAACTTACAGTGAGCCTGTCATTTTGCGACATCAATAAATGCCCGCGATAAGCTGCCGGAAGCGCTCATGTGCACTCGTGAGCACGCGACAGCTGTACGTTACCAATCATCATAGCAGCAGCGATGTACAAGAAATATTCGTCATGAAAGCGCTTTTTGCAGACCTGTGAATTAGTGCTGACATCTTTTCCCATTTTTGGCTTTACTAGCCAAGCGTAGCGCATCCCTTCACATTTAGAGGAGTGGTGAAAACTTACAGCGGAATTGGTCTTATACGTCTGGCAATGAGTCATCGAACAGTACACCAACAAGCTGAAGCTGCTTGCACGCGACCTCGCACTGTTCATGCAGCTATATTAGGGGCTTTTAGCTTGTACGTATACTTCTTTACGTTAACACGTTACCGGATACCGGTTTGCAATTACCCTCTTACCAGAATGCATGCTTTTAGACGTTGTAGCTCACCACACAAAAATGTATACCTATACGTTTTCACAGGCCATAAATCGTGATGATAACTACATTTGAACTATACTTAACTTATATAGAATTGAATCACTGCTGCAGCAAAATCATGGGAAGTTTTTTTTTTTCCTTATCGTGTACAGTATCCTCGTATGTGCAAAGAGATAAAGAAATACAAGGTTACCACAACGATGGTGTTGACATCTTTTGACACTTCGTGCAACCACAGTCATGAACATGTTGGCTTACGCTCAATGTTTTACAACAAAAGCTGTTATGAGATCCCAACTCGGGTCTCGCGCAGCGCCGTAGTTGTCCGCCACCGCCGGTGTCCGTAATCACATCGCGCGAAACCAGAAAAAAAAAAACCTAGTACCAATGACACAGTGGAGCTGTAGCCCAGGTCCGCTGGGTGCCAGCCCAGTATTCTAGCACTAAGCCATGCCGGTGCTTGGGACTTGGCAAATTTGCCATAGGCAGGCTTGGCGTCGGGAAAGCAATCGCACTGATACGACTTCTAAAGCGCTTTAAAACAGCGAAAGAACAACCAGTCGTCGCACAATGCGAATAGCGAAACAAGTGGGCCATCCAATTCTCCAACCCAGTACAAAAGCTTGTCCTTGTTGCCCTATTAACTGTGGCGCATACCCACTTCAGCATTAATTCCTCATCATCGTCAGTCACTGCATGAGCGATTGGCACAAAATGTCTAGCAAATATTTAGCGGATGCCATGCTTCTCAGAAGAATGACGAAAAATAGCATAGCGAATGCCGGCCTACTACCCAAAAAAATTTATTAGTAATGCCCTAGTGGGTATCAAGCAAGTGTACTTGCAGTAGTCACCCAATGAGTGTTTTGAGAAGGCTCTGAAAGGCCACTCTTCCAGCTTTCGCTGTGATTGAGCTGCACCTTCCGTGCAGGCCTGGCGTTTTTTGAGGTGAAGATGACTAAAAGGTAACTCATTCATAATAACGCCAATGCAAGGTTCTCACCCCAGATGTACAATGTAAGATGTTTCTGCAATTTAAACTTTGCGATTGCCTGGTTCATTTTGGCCCCCTGGATGGCACCACTTATTCAGTTTGTCAGGGGGGGGGGGGGGGGGCTCATGCGTTTATGGCTTCCATGTTCTAGACCCTTCTAGCTTTGGTAATCCAGCCGAAACAATGCAATCACCATTAGCACTCGCACTTCGGCTTATTTTGACCCGACGGCTGGAGTCTCTGCAATGCGGACGAACGAAAGCGGATTTGCAAGGGCCGCAAACGTAAAGCCTATCCGGCGGGTAGTTTATGTAGCGTAAAGGTTTACGTTCCGTAAAGACCTGCCCTTGTGCAGACTCTATCCTGTACCCGGTAACACGGTAAGGCAAAAAAAAAGCCATTAATACTTCCAACTGGCCAAATAAAGTTTTACACACAAAGAATTAAATGTGGCATACCGCGATTTCACCTGAACGTTCTGTTCCACAACATGTAGGCAGCGAGGCAATCGCAGCGTCAGCCACTCCAGTGGAAGCTCTCGCGGCCAATAGCGATGGCGGCGGCAACGCACACAAGCCTTGCTGGAGGACGCAACATGCACGAGCTCGCATGCTACACACAAAGTCACAACCCAAAGAAACCAGCGGTGTAGGTGTAGGGAGCACCTGTAGTGCCAGTAGCTTACGATGGCCAGGTGACTAGCGCCACCTAGGCACTTCCCCCTCATTCACTATTATCATGATCATATTTTGCAGCAGTTGTTTGTTTGGTTTTGAATGCTCTATAACTCCGGTTTCATAATCGGTTATGGCAAGCACTGCATGAGCCTCCAAGCCACCGAGATCGCGCGACTCAAATCATGGAGCCCCGATAGCCTTCTCCGAAGTCGTCGGAGTTAACCAGTGCACGGCTCCCTCCGAATCAACGAGCTTTTGACACCAATGAAGTTTACACAGCTTTGCCGGGACTGCGCCAAGAGTGCAAGATAACTGAATTTTCAAGTTAATGAGATTCGGATAAACGAAATTTCACTATAGGCTCAATGCTTAGTGCTGACATCGTCCATGTATTTTATGCTAACAAGCATGCCTGTTGAACCCAGGGCTTATTATTGCTATAAAATGTTCATACAGAACAGAGAAGGTGCCAGATATAGTGCATATAACTTGGTTTTGATACAGAGAAGCTTGTCATGAAATCCACAATTTTGTTGCCACCTCCCATCAGCTATAGTATTGCTTTGAAAATAAACACCCTTGATTCAAATCACAAAAAATAAAGAGCAGGAAGGGAAAGACTGAAGCTTCAAGGCTGCAGCCGGGTTACAGCCTTGAAGAAGACAAGTCTGCTAGTCGAAACACCGGCTCCAGCAAACACTCCATAATGTTTAAAAATATCTTACCTATAATAACTGGCACAGAAAAAACCAACAGAAGTACCACAGGCTTTGTATTCATCATACTATCTCATAGAGAAATATAAAAATAAAATGGTGCATACCACAAACTTGCGGTCCTCCTTTGATGCTTGGACATAGCCAAAAGCATTAAATGTGGCCACATGCTCCACACGAAATGAGTCAGTGTCTCCATCAGCCATCACATTTCGGGGCTGCCAGACAAGGCCATCCACATCATGTCGAAGACAAAGGGCTGGCATATTGTCGGCAGAACGCATACTGAATAACCACTGGTGACCACTGAGATTGATCTAATTTGTGCCAGAAAGAAAAATAAAGAAAGGAGAATGTTTAGACACAGCATTATAACTTTTAAATGAGCCACACTACAGTAATGGTAAAGTTTATAAGCATGGGCATTGGCAGGATTTTGTCTTGGGGTTGCAAACCCGTGTTTCATGATGGGTGGGAAATGGTGCTACAGGTTTGACATTGGTGGAGGAGGGGGGGGGGGGGTAGTGCTCTTGAAGCTAGAGGGGGGCAAGTCAATGCCAACCAGATAGAAAAATAATTCAGGCCTGCTCACTATTCCGGGCATGGCCTGTGACATCACTCAGTTTTGACACTTTTCTCCTACCGAGTAGACGTGCCCATGCATGCTTCCCTTTTTCGAAATAGCAGAATTGCTAAGCCTGACAAAGCCTATCTTATGGGTGACTGCCCAAAGATGGCCGTGTTTTTGAGCCTGTGTGAAGTGCTGCATGGTGATGTGATGTGGTTCAATCACTGAATGTTCGTGTAGTGTACACATGCAAGCTCTCATAATGGGGCAGTGCTGTGGGCTCAACTGTCACCGATATTGACGATGTCCTGAATGTTTGAGTGTTTTTGTTCCCAAAAGATCACTCGTAGAAGGCCAAAAAATCACTCGTAGAAGGCCATGTATCAGCCATTGGCTGATTTGAACACGGCACGCTCGGTCGTTACAGGGATCGCCGCAAAATGCTGCAACTTGTCCACACCCGCGCGGGCGAGCCACATTTTCGAAGAAAAAACAAAGAAAAAGTGCTCAAGATCACAAGGCATGCGTGAGATATTTTCCTTGCCCATGCCATCCCTCTCTGCTTAGCTTCCAGTGTTTTCGTCAGGACAAGACAAGAGGGAATGCGATTGCAGCGTGCGACAAACCTTTGTAACTCCGCTTGTACTGGAGAGATTCTTCAAATTTTTGTGGCATTGAATTCCTGAGGTACTAAGCACTTTCAGTGAATCCATTCCAAGGTTACTTGAAAAAGTGTTTCTTTGAAATATGTACGGCTGCTCTTCAACGAAATTTGGACACCTGTACACACCTCGAAGATTTTTCTGTTCTGTAGCTTCTCGATACGGGGTAAGTGGAGCGCAAAGCCCGAGATAAATACCGTAATTGCTCGAATCTAACGCGCACCTTTTTCTGGTTAAGCGAGTTCATAAATCGCATGCGCGTTAGAATCGAGTACGAAAAAAAAAAAATGCATACGGTCATTCTATTGCCATGGGCATTTCCAAAATGGCCACCCCCTACGTGCGTCGGCATGGCGTGTCAGCCATTTCTGCCAATGTGTTTCCCATGTGCAGCACTTCGCACGTGTGCTGAGGAGTTCGTCATCTTGTAGTGCATTAGCATCGACAGCATGGAAGGCCCGACTCCAAAAACTCGAGTGCACCACGATGCCGCTTTTAAAAGAAAAGTTATTGCGTGTGCAGAAACGGACAGAAATCGGGCCGCATCGCGGTCGTTCGGAGTTCCCGAAACGTGCGTGCAGGACTGGCGGAAACAAAAGCAGAAGATTGTCAACAGCAAAGCTTCACGCAAAGGCTTCAGTGGACCACAGCAGGGTCGGTTTCCGAAAATTGAAAAACTGCTCAGCGAGTATGTGCTTGAGCAGCGAGCGGCACAGCGGCCCGTGACGACAGAACTGCTTCAAGTGCGGGCTATGCAATTAGCCTTAGAAAAAGGTCTAACGCGGAGCCAGTTTGAAGCGAGCAGGTGCTGGCTAACTAACTTTATGAAGAGGAAAGGCTTTTCCTTCCGAAGGTGAACGGGCATATGCGAAAAGTTTTGCGGAGGAGTGCGATGAAAAGCTTCACAATTTTCAGAGATTCGTCCTAAACTTACGGCACAACAACGGCTACCTACTTGGGCAATGCGGAAACGCCGATCAGACGCCTCTTTACTTCGACATGCCTGGCACCACAGCCGTCGAGAAGAAGGGGGCGAAGGAAGTTCGCGTGCTGACATCGGTCCACGGTAAAACTACAGTGACGGCAATGCTCTGTTACATGTCAGATGGGCACAAGCTTCCCCCGTACCTCATATTTAAATGAAAGACGCTCTCGAAAGGAGTTGTTTTTTCGAGTGGTGTGATCGTGCGGGCCAGCGAGAAAAATGGGTGCGCGTTGCAATTGATGCCTTACCTTTTTTTTTGTCGCGGAAATCGGGTGCGCGTTACAATCGAGGGCACGGTAGAATCGAGTAAATACGGTAGCTTTATGAAATATTTTCTCAGGTGCGTGAGCTTCATTTCAAGCTGAAATACGTAAGGACAACTAACAAGTACTCCGATCCAACAACAGGCACAACAGTTCAAGCGCACTGACTCAGCAGAGAAAACCATAGAAGTTTGTCAATCAATAGGAACACTTTCTGTACATATTCTGACTGTGTGTCGTGTGTGTGTGTGTGTGTGTGTGTGCATGTATGCACACGCGCATGTGAGTATGTAAATGAAAAATAATCAAATAGATTTACCCTATTTTATTCCCCATCTTTGTTGCACCATCAATCTTCACTCATATGAAATGGTGACACGTTCGATAGTCCACAGTATTCTCTAAAGTTTAGGTGGAGTAATAGATGGCAACAAATAAATCACCAAAGAATTGAAAGAGCAATACATTCCTCAAATCAGTGCCAGCCCAGATGCAAAAGATTATATGAAGCCGTTGTACATGTAAAATTAGCTGCAAGCGTTGCATCTTTTCACAGAAGACGATGCTGGCAGAGGCTTCACAGCCTCCCGTGCGCACTCGCTCGGTAAAGCCATGTGACATCATGGTGGCAGTGAGCAGGCCTGAAATCTAGGTGGCATTGGGCAAGTGCCGCTTTTGCACTCCCCTGCCAACGCCCATGTATATAATAAATAGACATGAATGGAAATGAAGATGGTGCATGCATTTTTGATGATTGTGCAATACTACTGGCAAAACAATAGTGTATGAAAAATAAAATTATAAATTATATCATCAATACAAACACTTTTTACTGAAGAGCACATTCAATATTTTAAATGTGAATAGTCTCTCAAATTTATGGCAAAGTAAAGCCGTGATTCCAATGCAGCAACACTGATACTTCCATTCTGCACAAGATTATTTCAACAAATGATATAATATAAAGAGGAAACAACACACCTGATGTGTTGCTCGGTGGGAGTCGCCACAGAGTCTTGTGAACGTAAAGTACTCCATTGTGTCATCACAGTCATCCAGTTCTTGGTAGTTAAAGCTTGGTTTATCTGATCCCGAAGCCTGCAATGATATTTAAGTACACTATTGTGGCTTAATGTAAAGAATTACTAGGAAATAATGGAACAAATACCCAGCATACAACTGTAAGCAGCAACATTATTGTGCTTTAAAAGCCACAGGTTGACTTCCTATCTAGTAGTCTCCAATACAAACACGTGAGTTGAGCATTTGCAGCATGGTTACTAGCACAATTTTATCAAAATTGAGCAACAACAGCAAAGAATGACTCACCTGTAATAGATCATAGTAATTCAGAGATCAACACTGATCTCTCGCCAGCCCTGGGAGTGTATTGGTCACTCATGGTACTAGCATCAGCATTGTTAAATGGTAGATGCCATGGTTACATTTAATGGTATCTACACCTAGGACGCTCGAACTGAATCTAAACCAAAAAGTGCACTTTACCTGAAATCCAAATTGATAACCTTAAAATGTGCTGGAAGTTGACTCAAACTTCAACCAGAACAAATAATAATGGTTAGTGGTTCAGCACAATATGGTTTAAGGCTATAAGGTGCCTGTGTGTGCTTAGTGGATAGTATTAAGCAGAACTAATGGACAATAATGCCAAGGATCGTATTGGGGGCGTTATTAGAAGTAATTATTGTGTAAATGTGCTGAAAGAGAACTTGCCAACAGCGGGGACCGAACCTGCGACCTTGAACTAACGTCCGTTGCTTTACCACTGAGCTACGGTGGCGGTCATCTTTCCGTCCACTTTATAGCGAATATATGTACTACATGTTAACGTAGGAGTATCAGTCAGCGCTGCCAGTAACCACTACAATGAGTGTGGAACACTCTTCTTTTGCCTGTTGGCGTTACATAGCACATGACCTTATTACGAGTTGGCAGCTGACTAATAATCCCTCGTCTGAAGGCATCAAGTCTGTCAGAACGAGACCCTCACCGTAGTGGTTACTGAAGCCGCCGACTGACGCGCCCACGTCTAAATGTGTATGTACGGTGGACTCGCAATAATTCAAACTCCAAAAATTCATATTTTCAGCTAATTCAAACAAAATTCAATTTTGTGGTTAGCCCTCTATTCTTTCAATGTATTTAGGAGCCTCTTAATTCAAACTCCATCATTCAGTTAATTCATACTTTTTGAGGTTCCATACTGGAAAATATCTCCTCCTTTCCCACTACTATTTAAAAATTTGCCTGCTTATATAATCCTAAAAGTCTAAAAATGAAAAAAAGCACCTCAGGCCTTCAAGAAAAAAGGCTTTGCTAGTAAACAAATGTTTGAAACAAAGCCCACGCAGGGTAAACCGTGATGCTTCTCAACTGGTATAGAGAGCTTTGTGCCGAAGGCACATGCCTATAGCAATGAAGCAGTTGGCAATTCACGATTTCTTTCAAAGGTCTGATCAGCAGTGAATGGCCGATAAACCTGCCGACCTTACACCTCTGCTTTCTGTTCATTCCGTGCAGTTAGATTTTAGAAGTGTGATGTCACCTCTCCCACAGTCATATATCTGAGAACTTCTGATAATTTAAACTTCTTGATAATTCAAATAAAATTCAGAGGTCCCTTCGAGTTTGAATTAATGAGAGTCAACTGTATATCCTACAAAGTAGATAGAGATATGACTGCCGCCATAGCCCAGTGACAAGAGCATCGGATGCATTATTCAAAGGTTACAGGTTTCGTAGCTGCCAGCAGCAAGTGATCTGTTTGTCCATTTTCTTTTTTCACATTTACATAACAATTAATTCTAATAACATCCCCTATACTTTCCTTGGTAACATTGTCTGTTAGTTCTCATCAGTATTATGTCAAAGACAAACGAGCCCATTTACACGTAGTGGATAGTATATGGCTCCACAAAAGTAATCACTTCACCTGGTGCACCCCAATAGCACAGTGTCATGATTCACATGTCACACTGTACGCTGAAAATGAGGACATGTGAAGGGTATGTGCAGGTAAGTATACAGACTGCACAGAAATTACAGGAATAGGTGCATACAATTATGACCTCATGTCTTAGACTGGGTTACTAGTATTGATCAATAAAATGTACAAGCAACAATCCAGGATACACAGACATTAACAAGGCAGTGTCCTGATGATGGAAAAAAAAAAAAAAAAGGAACAAAGATAACGACAAAGAGGTCAATATCATGGCTTCTTATAACAACAATAATGCTGTTGCTAATGCACCCTGTCACCATTATAGGTGTGCAGTAATGTGAAGGGCATTGGAAAACTGTTTTAGTTGTGGGCCCTTGTTCCAAGCTTGTCTGGCACTTCCTAGGACAGTAAAATGCTCCGCAGTTTCAACAACTCCTCTTTGGGATAATAATGCAGATGGGTTAATTTTTTTTTTGATCTTAGCACAAGCTACCCTTGTTAAATAGCTAATCTGATGTTTGTCTCCTCCGCTACCGGCACAGATGAAAATGCGTAACCGCTATTTCGATCCATCCGTTTGGTGGTCGTCTGCCCTCGATCAAGAGGATTCAGTGTCAAATCTGTCAACATTGGTCGGATTGGCATGGCAAAGAAGCAGGCTGCCGGCTTAAAAGCCACGTGTTTTAGTTTTGCGGCAACGCCCAAATGTGTTTCGTGTGACAGTGGAAGAGGCGAGTGGTTTTTGGTGGAATTCCCCGCACAGCCTTGGTGACCACAAACACGAGTGCGGTATGCTGCATAAGCATAGGAGTCGAGAGTATGCACGACGATTCTGCGAGCGCAGCTCTGGCTGTGTACGTGCGACGTCTCCACTGCTGCACCGAATCAAACTAATCAGTGACTATTCGGTCCGCAGAGCAGCGAGATTTTGCCCTCGTGTGTGAATCTAGTTTTAGAGTCAAACATGTGTCATTTAAAATAAATGAAAGTGGACAAGAGAATGGCCACCGCCACAGCATAACTTGTAGTGATCACACACAGTGTGACGACTGTGGCTTTTCTCCCCATCAGCAGCAAGTTGTTCTGAGCCCAATTTCATATTACTTTACTTCATAATTATTATAATTAAATTAAAATATATAATAACAATCACTATGCTTTCTTTGCTTTGTTATCTGTTGGATTCAAATGGTAACATCGACATTCAGGCACTCAAGGAATTCAAAAATGAAACCATGATTTCCTCCTCCAGTAATGAACTTATGATGGTGACACTAACAATAATAGAGTCCTCAAAGAATAGTATATCAGTTTAAACTGATTCAGTATATGTATTAATTTAGTGGCCCTTTAAGCGATTCTGTTAGTCGTAGTTAGACAGCACAAGCACTGCCTGTCAGTCTTTTCCGAAGTGCTCCTGGCAGTCGCAACCCATCAGTCATTAAGATAAGTTTTTTCTGCAAATCGGCAAAATTTTGGGTGCAAAGCGAATGCAAATATTAAAACATAAGTTAATTAAATTCATTTTTTTAATACTTTTATGCAAAATTACCGGAAATGTTGTAGAGGATCCCCAGGCATATTCTTGTCCGATGGACAAAATTAAAAAATTTCTTTTGGCTCGGCTGGTGTTACAGAGGGGTGCTGCTAAGTAGTGTTCCCCGAGTTCAACGCAGAGAAGACAGGTTTCTTAAACTCCTCAGATGACCTTGCGCAGCAATACATCTTCATTGTATTTCCCACTGCGATTATAATAACACACTTCAGATATCGAAACCACGCTCCTTCTGCGTGACCTGTGCAAAGCTGCCCTGCATTCCTTGAGTCATTTCTTTAGCCACAGGTATATCTACACCCTTCACAATAGCATATGTCATAGTTTTTCTGAATAAACAAGGCATGAACTTGTGCATGAGCGGAGCGCTTTGAACCAAAAAAAAATAGTGATCATGCGTTCTAACTGTATATGGGAAAACCATCCTGAGTAACGCTGTTTTATTACACACTGGTTGTTTATAATGCCTAGTGGTCGTAATATATCACATGAATTGAGTGTCGTCGTCCTGGTTTTCTTGGAACGCTTTAAGTGTGTGTTCCAATTGACTCATCTTTCTAAAATATCATGCTTTATGTTTTCGCATGCCACGGAGGTGTGCATTATCGCGCGCCACAGGCTACTGCAAGTAGCAGACAAACATATAAGTGTCTCAAATCAGCAAAAAGATGAGTACAACAATCTACCGAACAAATACTAGCTGCATCTATAGTGCGGCCAGAGAACATGTACGGCTTCGTAACCGAGCACTCTATGTTCGCAGCGCATGCTGGCCAAAGGGAACAGAAGAAAAAGATACAAAAGCAAAGTGTGTAACGCGAAGGACAGAAGCAGCATGACGACTATGCATGTACTTTGGCGCACTGAGACCAGCGCACACTGCCTTGCGAAGCTAGCTTGCAAAGCAGTGGCTGTGTGAATATTTCGATCGGGTCTCGTGTGGCAGCACTGATTCATCATGTGTATGCACAGCAGCATCTGTGGCACTGCTTATACCGGTGCAAATAAGCAAGTCCTTGTTTTCATCGATCTGCAACACTGACGGGGCTATGTCGATCAATTATGCTCTCCTGCGCGTGTGCGATGTCGACAGTCTGCTTTAAAATGCATATAGTATCGCTATATTGCAGTCAAGCAATGAAATTGCACAGAGGAATAAGAAGTGAGGTTGTAAGAGTGCCAGTCACTTCTGAAGGTGCCGATCTGATTGACGAAAGAAGTGCGTGTCGGTATGTTCTTTTCTTCGTTCATGTAACTGATAAGTTTGATTAGTCCTACCTAGTTCCCGTTAGTGTCCGTGCTCCCTCTGTGCCTGAATAGCACACAAAGCATTGGGAAGTCATCGCAAACGAAGATAAACAATCAGCAACTTGCACCACAAATGCTGTGATGTGCGACTGGTTTCGTTTTTGTGCCCAACACATCATGGCGGATAGAGCTTACTGGATCATCGACAGATGATGGTGTACTTTTTGAATATCCCTATCCCTGTCGAGAGAAGAAAAATCACAATGTCGATGAATCGTCTGCCAATGTTGACGCCAAGCCTATATCATTGGCATCGGACTTGCTGCAACC